TAACAACTTGAAACTGTTAATGATACTATAAAACATTAGTAGAAAATGTAGATGAAATGTAACTTGATGGGTAAGTACTTTCTAAGGCAAAACAAAAAAAATGGATGAAATTGCAAGTTAAAATACTGATAGATTTAAGTATGTAATGTTTTAAATATTTTAATATGTTTAAAAGGAAATACTGGGAGATATAGTTTTAATAAATATGACAAAAGACTAAGACCATTCATATATAAGGAGCTTTTAAAAACATAAAAGAAAGATATTTGTAACCCAGTAGAAAAATGTGAGAAATGAAGAAAATTCACAAACTAAGAAAAAACAAAGGGCAATAAACAGTTTAAACTCACTGTTATTTAACTGCTAAGTTATCAGCATGAGTAAATGTGTAGCTGAAAGTATGAAATGTTACATATGTACTTTAGAGTCTAAAATACAGTCATAAAAAAATCAAAATATTTTATAATTAAATAAGTTCATTGCAGCATTATTTACAATAGCAAATTAGAAATAACCTAAATATCTAGAAATAAAGGAGCAATTCAATTATGATACATCTCTAAAATACTATACTAAGTCATCATTAAAAACTGTGTTTTCAAATAGTTTAGAATTCATCTATATTGCTATTTCCTAAGTTTAAAAAATACATATACTCATATGTGTAGTAATCTTTTACACACTATAATCACAATTTTAAAATTCATAAATAACAATTACATAGATGTTAGAAGTGATTATCTCTAAATGGTAGGATTACAGGGATCTTATATTTATCTTTTTAGTGTTTTGTATTTTCTATAATTTTACAATATACATATATTCTTGTTATTTCTTACAATGGGAAGGAGATGGAATCAATGAATTCCCCCTACCTGGTACTCCACTTGATCCATCTTTCACATTTCAATATAGTAACCAATGTTTTAGAGAACAAAAGGATGACAGAAAGCTTATCTAGCCCACATATCTCACCAAATCTGCATCTAGCTTAAGACAAGAATCATTGGTAAATAAGGGGTAGAGCCTCTTAACTAACTAGATAGCTGTAATTCTGTGGGAGGAGGAAGGGTATCAGATAAACTGCTGCTTTGTAACTGATTATTTTTGACAACATAGAAACCTAGTACTACACTTTGCTTCTTTTATCTTCAGTAGATAAACTGAAAAGAGCCAAAAAAAGATAAAGAAAGTGAGATATTGGAAGGTCAGTTGGCTACAAACTTTCACAGTTTATTTAAAGTTTTTATTTGATCTTAAAGCCACTGCATTTTTCAGCTTTTCAGCCCTATCTTTCTCTTTTCTAACTTCTCCTTTCTTTCTGCCAAGGCTCTCCATTTCTTTGTGGTCTTAACACCCTTTATAAGTATCTAAAATTAAGAAATAGAGTAGAGTTTTCAGCAATCCTATCTACTTGTGTGGTTATTTCTCTGCAGAGGAAAGGCACAAAGGAAGAAAAGAGGAAGACCATAAGTCCCTTTTTCCTATCCGACATTCTGAATTCTATCATTAATAGGATTTTTGTAATAGGAGATCCAGTTGTTGTGGCCCTTAGCCTTCCAGCATCACCACAGACTTATTCTGTTTAGCAATTGGAATTGCATAGGCTAAGGGCTGTGGAGTTTGTTTGCAGATTGAATTTTGTCACCAAAAAACCATCATTTATTCAGGCTGCAAATGTGTTTTGACAACCTTACTATGTTACACGTGCTGAGGATACAATGGTAAACAAAACAGATATGGTACCACCCTTAAAATTTTATAATTCTCACAGAGGTGGGCAAACTTTAAACATAACACAAACTAATAACCACTCTTTAGGAAAGGCATAGGGTACTGTGAGATTTCGTAAAAGAGAGATCTGACTTTGTCTAGATAAATGGTAAGAGAATTCCCTGTAGAAACAATAATTGAGCTGAGTTCTAAAAGTTGAATAGAAATAACTAAGATAATAAGCAGGTGGGGAAAGATTATTCCAGACAAAAGGAACAACATGTAAAAAAGGGCTGGCCCGGTGGCGCACTGCTACAGTGTGCCGCTTGGGAAGTGCGGCAGCGCTCCCGCCGAGGGTTCG